ACAGCCAAACGGATTCACAGAAAGTAATGTGCAAACTATAAAAACGGATTGAATATATGTGTACAAAGGAAAGAAAAGATAGAAAAAAAAATAACCCACGAATTTTAAATCCGGGTCATTAAAAATAATAAAAAAGTTATACAGATGTTTTTGTCTTTAATTTTTCTCCGAAATATAACTATCGCTTAAAAAGGTTAAAATAAATTAGGACATGTTTATGATTTATGAATGGTTTTACTGAAATCACTGAGAAAAAAATTCTTTTGGGAAGAAAAATAAACTGCTCGTAATAAATGTAAGGGAGTCCTCCAAAGAGCTAAGTCGCTGAGAGAATAAGGCAACGCGTAGTCTCAAAAAAAAACTCTGACTCTCGTGATTACTGCCATTTCCGTAATAGGGTACTAAATAAATTCAAAGTCTCTATTCCCCATTTCTTCAATCGATTTGAGGTGTTATCAACCTCTGCTGATAAAGTTGCATGTTTTGCCCCTGAGTTCTCCTCAAACTTTACTCAGGAATAATCAGGGGTATCCCTTCCTAACTTCTCACGTAGAACTGATATGCATATAACCCTTTCCATGACCACTGCTATCACCTCTAACCTGATCACCAGAAAGCTGTATATCCAATAGTATCCCTATACTAGTAATTAAGGATTGTTCTCCTGATCTAGCACCTGTTCTCTCATAACTGTATAATAAACGCCTTGCTGCCTCTTGTTTTCCTCCCTTCTGAAGGTCAACGTTTGTAGTTCCAGTTTATAATAACTCTGGCGAAACGTCCGACTCACGTAACTATCTGTCTATTAGACATCCACCCATTATTGAGAATTGTTCTATGGGCCCTACTCAATGCTGAATTTGTTCATTATCTCTCATCGAAGGAGCTTTTCTCCGATTAGGGCAAAAGATGGCATGACAATTTTTAAGGCCTTCAAAACTAAGCTTCTCCCTATTAATAATCTGAGAGACCGCTCTCTGCTTTCCATCAGCATGGCTGATGCTATCCTACAGAAAATTGACTCATTGCGCTCGGGCTAACGTTCTCAGCTGACATGAAATGGAAAGACTATATCGATTCCATTGTTAGGTCACCTGCTAAGAAAATCGCGTGACTGCATTGAGAGAGACCCCTCTTCTCTACTGGATCTGTCTTGCATATCTATAAGTCTACCGTTAGCTCAGGCTTAGAATATTGCCGTCATATATGATACGGTGCCACTGCGATTTTGGAGCTCCAAATAATAATCAGCAATATCATTGGTCCTTATCTGGCAACTCAACCAGTCTCTTCCCATCATCTTAAGATAGCCACTTTGGGCCTTTTTTTTAACTGTTCGCATGAGTATTTGGCTGTGGTACCTAGAATGTATGAACTTTAACGCAATACTAGACAGGAGTAGTGATCTCATCAATTTACATTTGAGCTAACTAGGTGTAGCCGTAACATATATGCTAAGAGTATATATTCTCCCTTGTGGAAATCCCTTCTGGCTGCATGCTTTCCAGCCAACTATAATTTGCAAGAATTTAAGTACAATGTAAAATTGCTATCTACTGTCCTCCTGAATACTCTTTTTACACATTACTCATGTTTCTCTTCCTAATTCCTCCACACACTGTAACCCCTTTCATGTTAGTGTCCGTACTATCTGGCTTGCGTTGACAATGATTAAAAATATAAGAAAAAACTAAAAAAAAAAATAGTTTTAATTGGTGTTCTTATCTTAACATAAACTGCGATTTCAATTTATATGTTTATCTTTTTCAGCATTTTAAAGAAATATTAGAGCTCAGTTTTAAATTGATTTATAATAATTTTATTATTATAAATAATAAATAACCGGGTCGGATTATTTTATGCTAAAAGCATAAAATAATCCGAACCATTTATTTATTTCAGTTAAGACCGCAACAATCTCAGAGATATATTTGATTTTAATTGCATTTCCTCGAATGGAATCGATATTTGAACGTAAAATATTTTGTGTGAAATTTTAGGATACCATGTCACAACTATCTAGACTTGTCCAAGAGTCTGGCTTAAAAATCGATCTTCCCTAATATATATATATATATATATATATATATATATATATATATATATGGGAGGCTGATTTATTTTTATCAGACAGACTTCTATTACATTTTACCGCATATAAGATTCCTCGAATATTCTGGTTATAGATTACTCAAATACGAATACCCACTAAAAAATGAAATTTACACAAACACACACACACACACATATATATATATATATATATAGCTTTATTTGCATGATAATTTTAGGAAGCCGATTCGCATGTTTCCCTTACGTCTAAATCATGTTTGGAGATTAAAACAATAAAAAAATTCTACTATTTATAAATACTTGTTGAAAAATCAAAATCTTTACACTTACCTTCACCAGAAGAAGAAACACGTCGACTAAGGAAAGTTTTCCTTTTGTGTTTATTTTCACACACACTTATACACGCACACACACACGCACACACGCACACACACACACTTACACATACATAATTATACACGCACACACTCATACATACATACATACATACATACATACATATATATATATATATATATATATATATATATATAATTATATGGAGTAACTTAACTCTTAAATGAATGGTGTTGCTTCTGTCATGCCAACTTCGAAGTTTCATGATCGCATTGCTATGCACTAACGAAACTTCTAAGTCGGTATGATTGAAACAACAACATGCAATTAAGTGATAAGTATAACCACATAATCCAACTAATGAATAATTTCCAACTACTGAATAAACATAATTTTCATATAATTAACTGTACACAGATACATAATAAGTAAATATGCATACAAAACCGAAGAAATGATTTAATAGAAATAAATTTATCCATTTTAATGTGTGAAAAAATTATTTGTACAATACAAAAAGGAATGTATGTAATCGTTATCTGATACTTTGTAGAATTGCTATTATTCACTTCTACAACATTTAATCTCATCTTATATTTCTCAATTAATGATTTGCAAATTTTAGCTGCTATTTTATTCCATTCTTCTTCGCATATGATCTCCAAATCCAGGCTGTTTCTCGATTGGATTTGAATTTTCAAATAGCGCCACATTTCTTTTGGGTGTAAATCTGCAGACTGGCTTGTCCATTTCAGGATATTCATATTATTTTTAGCAAGCCATTTCTTCGTAGATTTTACAGTGTGCAGAGGATCATTAACTTATTGGGAGATCCGATCAGGAAGAACTTCAAGATTTTCAACCAAAATCATTAAATTTGCTTTCAAAATATATGATGCGGTTTTCATTCTACCATATTATTACTGATTGTTGCCAGTACCTTTTGCAGAAAAAACATCGCAAACCATGATGCAGCCACCACCAAATTTCACTGTTGAAACTGTGTTCTTCTGTTTGAAGACACTGCCATTTTACCTTCATAAATGATTTCTAGAATTACATCCAATTAACTCCGTTTTGGTTTCATCTGTCCACAGTATGCTTTCCCAATACGATTTTCCCCTTATCCTTATGTTCACGAACAAATTTCAACCTGGTATCACTATGTCTTTTCGATAGCAGGGGACCTTTCCGAGGGGAGCGTGATTTTAGATTATTCCCATGAATTTCATTGCTTATTTTCAGTTTAGTGACACAGATTTCTGATGAAAGCAAAATATCCTGCAACTCTTGACGAGTAATCATTGGACTTTGTTTAATTTGACGCAATATTTTCCAGAAAGATCCTGAAGAAATCTTTCGTGCAACATCTGTTCTTCTGTTTCAAAAGTTTTGAGTTTTCTATACCGTGCATCGAGTGAACTAATGATAGTGAATGGAATATCCGGGTTGTCTGTGATTTTCCTCTGACTTTTACCTTCTTTCCAGATCTTAACAATAATTTCTTTTGGCGAAGTTGTCAATTCTTTACGTTGTATAGTTAATTATATGAAAAGAATGTTCATTCATTAGTTGGAAATGCAATGAACTAAAATTTTGTGTGTACAAATATTTGTTTTCCTTGTCTAGGTTATATATATATATATATATATATATATATATATATATATATATATATATATATATATACACTAGCAGGCCTATCTGAAACAGCGAATTTTTTCTAAACTCTATTTTTTCTAAAATCTGTTACGAAAGAGAACTAAACAAAATGAACACAAAACGATCAGCTTTAAAAAAGAACTCTTAACTGAAAAAACCGAATGAAAAAAGAATGTTGACAACAAATACTTTTTCACATCAACCCAGTTCTGCGGAATCAGATTCAACGTTGAGTTTAAGCAAGCGAATGAGCCAATTGGAGTAAAGTGCCATGCAGATTTAAATTTTTCCCACTTGTGACAAATTAAGCTACCAATTTTTTTTGCATGCTAGCATGCTAGGTAACATTCATGTCAGTCAGCTGTTGGCTCTCACGCTGACCAATAGAATCTTCCTGCCTATACGTGGCAGCCAGCTATTGGCTCTCACTCTGGCCAGTAGAAAACGGCCGCAAACTACATGAAAACTGCCGTAGAAGCATGAAAAATCGATTATTTCCACTATCGATGAGAGTTGGGAAATGCAACGTCGGTGTTGGCCTTCCCGCTAACTTGGAGCATGTGCATGTAAATTTTGGTGCAAATCCGTCGAAAATTGTGGTCGTGCATTCGTCACACACACACACACACACACACACACACGCACACACTGCCTTTTATAGATAGAGATATTGTATACATATATATATAGTTCAACATATATATATATATTTCAACTATAAAAAGTTTGAAATATATATATATATATATATATATATATATATATATATATATATATATATATATATATGTATGTATGCAACTTCAACATTAATATAAATATAATCGACAGCTTTTAATTTTTTTTTTCTTGCCTTCTTTCTATTCATCCATTTCTTTGTCTTTTTTGAGAATACATTAAAGAATTTATTTATTTCTATATTTCTCAAGAAATTCCGCCTTTCAGTATAATTTATTTTGGTTATTCCGTTTACTTTCACAGCGCCTACACAAATGTTACCTTCATTTCCTCTCTAAAAGAAGGCACCACGCCCTTGTTTCCGTTCTCGTTATTCAAACGCGGTTTATTCCCTCCTGTCATTCTTTCTATCTTTTCAACCCTTGGACGTGTTCGGTTTCTTGGAGTCTTCGCGATTTTTCTGCTTTTTAACTCGAAGAAGTGCCTTCTTTTTGCTTTTATCATCTCTATGCTTCTGCCAAAGTTATTTGTTCCCTCCACCATCACTTTCCGATTCCCTTGTCTCCTGTCGCATCGTTTTCTTCCGCAGCGCTTTTGAAACCATACTTAGTTCCCAACGCTCCGCCCCAACAAACCCTCACCATTTTCAGACACGTTTTATTTACCGATTCCTTTGATTTTACCGTTAAGCAACGGAGAAACTGGCTTCTTGTAATATCATCGACACCATTCCTGGAATTCTCCTCTGTAACATGCATATTTTCGCCCTGATGATATGTGCTTCAATTTCGTACAGAGCTTTTCAGGGGCTTCTTACTGAAAGATAAGATTGAAAATGGGATCTCTTCGTCTTTATGTTTAAGAATAGGTGACGATTCTCGATTCTCCGTTTACACCCCTTCACATGTTCCAATATAAGTACAATTATAAATAGACTAATATATATATGAGATGACGATATATATTTTTTCTATATCAAGATCAACACTAGGGGAAAATGTAAAACAAAGTGAAAATGTTTCGGCCTTTAGGACTTCATCGGACTAAATTTGTTATGTTGCGGCGACTGCACATGCGCACGAACGACGGATTCTGTATATATGTAAATATTTCAGATAGAGTATACTTGTAAAAGGGCAATATGGATAAAGACAAAAGGAAAACTTATCTTATTTGCTTTGAAAAAGCCCCTCATAGATCGAAACTCGTCGGCTGATATAAGTGAGATAAGTTTTCCTTTTTGTCTTTATTCATTCATTCATTCATATATATATATATATATATATATATATATATATATATATATATATATATATATATATATATATATATATATATATATATATATATATATATATATATATATATATATTATGAAATGGACAAAGTCCGACAATTAATTTAAAACATTTTTATGTTTATACATTTCATTTTTACAGATACAAATATTTAAGTAAATACTCTGTTTATAACATACAGTTTATACAGTATTAACAACATTTAGCGGCCTGAATGTCCGAGAAATTGTCATAGAAAATATGCGTCCTCCGACAGGAATCGAACCTGTATCCTATACCGAACCGTCATATAGCCAGAATTTATAAACATAAAAATGTAAAATAATTGTCGGACTTGTTTATATTTGGATACGCATCGTACAGATATGAATGCACGTGAGAAAATCATGGAAAATTTGCAGTTTAAAAACTAACATATATATATATATATATAACCAGCTAATTTACCTTTGCGAAAACGCAGAGTGAACAAAACATAGGTAAAGCGTTCTTTTGCGAGAAGGTTCTGCAGATGAGGAATTCGCAATATTCAATAGATCTGGAGACTTTCCGGTCAGTGTGTGGAATCACCAGATCTAATCATCGCATTATCAATCGCCAAATTTCTGTCATTGCACTGTTCACGGGGTCAACAGAGCTTTTGGTTATTGAAGTCTTTCCAGAAAATGAGTCGCTCTCAAGTGCCTTCACAGCCAACCTTGAGGAATCGTCACTAAAACTTCGTTAAAAGCTTCGCTCAATGTATCACCCCACCCCGGGAACTTTGAACAGTTTTCGCCGTAGAATCTGCATGGTTCAAAGAAAAACGTGATGCATATCCAGTTGTCTTGATTGAGTAACCTACAAGGAGAATGTCTGTTCACATGGTCCGAGTAAAGATTCCTATGTTTGGTTACCAAATAAATCAAATCCCCACAAAATGTTCTCAAGTGATTCAAAATGTTTCGATATTTTTTTAGCATAAGACCAAATGAAGTACAAGAACACTAAAGAGTAATTGAAATTGACTGGTGCTAATTGAATTTTCGAATAAACTAATTTAATTTTTTATCTCATCCAATAGTGAATTTTCTGTGTAATGTATGAGGAAAAAGGAAACTTTTTCGACGTGTTTTCATAATTTTGGATGGAAGATATCTAATCTCATCTTTTCCAACGTTCTGATAAAAACCAAGAAACGCTATTAAGATCTTCCTACTATTGTGTGTGTTAATTGAATGTGTCACTCTTTATTAGTAATAGAATCTACTGTAAATACTAGCAATAGTTTAGCTATGAAGTTGCTATTAAAATGGACGAAATCAGGTTTAGAAGTTAAATATTTACACAGACAACATACCTATATATTTTAAGCCATTTTTTTGTGTTTATAAGTTTTTTTATAGATACAAATATTTAAGTAAATGCTCTGTTTATAATAAACAGTTTTAATCGGCCTGAATGTCCGAGAAATTTTCATTGAAAATATGTGTCCTCCGACAGGAATCGAACGTGTATCCTATAAGGAACCGTCATATAGCCTGACGTGCTTTTATCGATTTCGCCACAGAGGAGCTTTCGGTTATCAATGTCAATTTTACTCTTTTTAAACTACAATTCTCCATGTTTTTCTCTCGTAAATTCATATCTGCTCGATGCGTATCCAAATGTAAACAAATGACGTCATACATTATGACATGGACAAAGTCCGACAAATATTTTAGGAAATTTTTATGTTTATACGTTCTTTTTATAAGTTGGTGAATGCCGGCATAATACTTGCCTTCATTTTATGTTAGGTGTTACAATAAATTTTGTTGGTCTCTTGCTCAATTGAGCCCCACACACAATAGCAAAGGGGGTTCCAGTCTGGGGATTTAGGTAGCCAGATGTCAGGTGCAGACATTGTCTGATTGCCATGGCTGCGTTCTCCTGCTTGTGTGGCATGATGCAAAGTCGTTGCCAGACATAGGGTCTTCCAGAAGCCACACTCTTGATCCATGGCAGCACTACCTCCTCAAAGCACATGACGTAGCGACCCGTGTTGAGTGTGACGCCCTCACCAACAACTTAGGGAGTTCTTTTCATATCAGAACGATCAGAGTGTTCACCATTATATTCATCCAATCCTTTCCGAATCCTCTGCACCGTCTACAGTTTAACACGCAACACACAAATGTCCGTATTGGGGCTTCCGGCGTGAATGCCAAGAAATACAGCATACCGTTTCTAAATCCCTGGCGCAGTGAATAGCATCATGGCGCTTTTTTTCTTACAGGCAATGCCAAACTGACGCTACTATTGTAGTCAACTGGAATCAACAAAATAAAAAAAACAAAGTGCATATGTGAAAACATATAACATGGCAACAACTTACCCATCACACCACGTATATAAGATTGTTGTAGAGTAGTTTCACAGTGGAGGATTGTATTTGAACTAAAGTCGGTCCTAAAATAGGTTCGACGTACAAAACGTTAGGAACTTGATATAATAGGTAATGACGCAGAGTAATCTAGTGGTGGTCGCTGATACTTTAGTATCCGACTAACAGTCGTCCGACATCAACTGACGATATTCAGTCACTCCCCCCCACGAGGTCGTCATGGGGCACAAGGCCTTTTTAACGTGGAATCTCCGAGCCCGTGGGCTCGGCCAAAAATATGCCCATTGAACCCGTATAAACGGGTTCAGAGTCGGTTTACCTCCCCGAAAGAGAATCCCCACTTCGGCGTAGTCTCGTTCGGGTTCCTCCCCGCGCGAAGGCAGAGAGTTCAACCGATCAGCCAGTCGACTGACGATATTCAGTCACCCCCCCCCCACGAGGGCGTAATGTGGCACAAAGCCTTTTTAACGTGGGATCTCCACTACCGAGAATTGAAACCCTGACAGTTAGGTTGTCAAGCAAACATCATACCAACGGGCCTTGGTGACGAAGAGATTGCAAATCAGTCTCAATATAGCGCCGCTCGCTCACATATTCCGTGGTGGAACTCAACTGAGATTCTCTCTAACCACAGGACTGTGCCTCCTGGAGCCACGACTACTATCACCAAGCCGCTCACTCTAGAGCATTAGAAGCCGGTTCAAGCAATGATATACACATGATATAAATTTCAGACTCGATGAATTACTTAAATATGATTATCAAATCGTCCTAATAATTTCTATCAAACACACACACACACATACATATATATATATATATATATATATATATATATATATATATATATATAGGCGTGCTCCGGGTGATGATGACGAGTTTTAATGTCATATTGAAAAATGCAGCCAGGTTCTTTTTTTTTAAAGTATTCTATCTATTCAAGATTCGGTGAAAATAAACCCTCCACTTAGTAATTTTTTTTCTCTTGATAATCCCTCATTATCCTTGTTCTTCCATCCATTGATACGACCACCTTACAAAGGTGTACTCGCTGATTGCCTCAAGTCCTGTCGCCTTCAATATGTCCTACGAAGGTCAAATTCTGTCGCTCCCCCGAAATTTCAGCTGCCTTCTTCTGATTATAAATATTTTTTTCCATGTAAATAATCTCGTAGTTTTATTGCATTGATTTTTTTTAAACATTAAACAAAATTTATTGAAACAAAACAAGTACAGTTGACCACTGATGACAATTCCAGAACAACGTAACTATAAACAAATTTTTTTGCAATCATCTGCCAGCCACAATGATGGAGAAAGCATTACCTCGAACCATCGCCAGTGAGACACGCTGCAAGAGCCACTCCGTTTCGCGAGGCTTGTCCCTTAATCGAGACGCAATCGTGCCAATCCTCGGAAGGAACGCCATCGAACGAGGGCCAATAACCCCTGAAGTCTCCACTGCCACAAGAATAAAAAAAAAATCTATCAGCAAGAGAAGAATATTTAACTGTTTTTTTCTTCTCTGCGTCCCGGGCGACGGATTCTGGTTCAACTGCGGAAGTGATCAAATTACCGACCGAAAATGTATCCGCACAGGTGGCATCCCAAATAATCGAGTTCCCCATTTTAAAAGGGAAAATGGTAATGTCATCCGGCCGCTTAAATATAAATATTAGTGTACTTTTTGTTTCCATTTACCTTAAAGCTTCCACCTTACTCATATTCTCTGTCCATGGTAATCTTAGCATCCTTCTGTAGAACCACATCTCAGTTTCTTCATTTCTGTTTTTCATCTATAAGGGATTTTCCAGTATTCACTGGCATAAAGGACGCCCGATATTACATAGCAGTTCAACTTTTTTTTATTCTAACGAAATGTTTTTGTTTCTCAATACTGCACGGTGGAGTAGTGGATAGCGGTCCAGATTGGAG